GCAATTCAAAAGAGCTGGGTAAGGATGTGACACCAGGGCCTTCCAGCAACAGGAAACGTGGCTGTTCTTCCCTCCCCTGTTTGGCAGATCCCTCGTGGTCTGGGCTGTTTACTTGCCCTCACACACACTGATAACAGGAACACTCTTTTTACTCTTTTTTTGGTGCTGGTTTCCCCCTGGCCTGGAACATGTCCTGCAGCTGTGTTTATGATGCAGAGCCTTATTTAGGCTGCATTTTAGCAGAGCCTGAATTTAAAAGTTTCATTTCTGAGGAGCTGGAAGCCTTCATAGGAGGTGGGAGTTGTTTGGAAAACAAAAATAAAGATGTTTAAAGATACCATAATGGTTCTCACTGAAGTCCATGGGAATTTATCAGCATCTCTGATGAACAAAAATTAAAGCAGATGTTGAAAACCCAGAAGTTTGAGCTTTAGCTGAGATCCCCATGGGAAAATTTTCCAGCCTGCAGAAACCACAAAGGGGATGGGAGCTCTTGTTCATGGCCATGAACAATTCCAGAAGTAATTCCTGGGTCAAAGTCTCTTTTCCAAAGCAGACTTTGCCTCTGAAGCCACCACCAATCTTTGCAAAACTTTCCCCTATAGATATCCCTCACGTGGACAAGATAGAGCCAGGATTGTACTCTGGAAGGAAGAGGCAAAGGGTGTCTTTACAACACCCCAGGGACAAAGGGAACACCAATAAACTGAGCTCCAGCCCCTCAAGCCTCTGCACAAGCTGGGAAGGAGTCACAGCCACCCTGGCTGACACAAGGGTGGTGACAGGGACGGGGTTTTGGGGACTGGGCTCTCCCAGCCTCAAGCTGCTCTTGGCATGCAGCTCTGAGAGCCACGAGGAACCAAAGGCACCCTCAGAGAGCTGAGAGCTCAGAGCAGGCTGTGCCTCAGTGCCAGGGGGGAAAGCTGGGCTGGCCCTGGAATGGTTTGGGTTGGAAGGAACCTTAAACTCATCTTGTTCCTGTCCCTGCCATGGCAGAGACACCTTCCACTGTCCCAGGCTGTCCCAAGCCCTGTCCAACCTGACACTGCCAGGGGTGGGGCAGCCACAGCTGCTCTGGGCCCCCTGTGCCAGGGCCTCACCACCATCACACAGAAGGATTTCTTCCAATATCAAAGCCAAATTTCCCCTTTTTCAGTTGAATCCATTTCCCTTTGTCCTGCCAGTCCAGTTCTGATGAAGAGTCCCTCCTGGTCCTCATTCACAGTCTTATCTTCACCCACCCGAGAGGAGCAGCATGAGAAACACCAACATCCCCTTTTCTCACCATCCCACGAGCCTCAACAGCAGCTCAGGCGGTTCAGGACCTCATCCTGCCCTGAACCTCTGTCCAGGTCAGAGCTAGAGCAGCCCAGGCTTGCAATAACCAAAGCAATCCCTCGGCCAAGGGGGCTGCAAACACCTCCATGGCCCAAAGGACATCTCCTCTCCATGAGCAAACAGCTCAACAACCACCCCAGGAGACCTCACTGGCTTCTCTTCACTCAAACCCCTCCACACCCCTCGTGTGTCCTCAGACACACATTTGTGTCCCCAGCCATATCTAAAACGTGCACAGGCTGCACAGTTGCACGTGTGCAGTAAATGTGCACATTTTACTCCAGAAAACGTGCAATTGTACAGCCTGGAAATGCAGCACATGCATCTGAAAGGAGAGGCTGGCTGCAGGATCCAAGAGCTCCCCTGCACAAAGGGCAGCAGTGCCAGGGAACGCTGCCAGCTCGGGGCTGGGTCAGGCTGTGTGCATTGCTAAACCTTGGCCTGACCTCTCACTGCATCTGGGGACAGGAAATCCTGAAGGCAGCTAAAAACCCCCAGCCTGATCTTCAGATGCAATAGCAGAACTAGGCATGAAGGTCAAGGCAGGCAGATAAGGAGATGAAATAGCTGTGACCCACAATTAATCCACAGCTCCTCTGTGGAGCCCAGCACATCCCATCCCCATCCTGAGACAACACACAGGAGCTCAAACCCAAGAGCTGGGCTGGGAGCTGGCAACTCATTAATGCACAGCACCAGGAGCACGTTTGACAGCATCCACACCCCGGGTTCCAATGTCTAATTAATACATCCCTGGAGTGGGGTACAAAGGGGGAAAAACAGGCAACCTTTGTGCCACCATCCACGTTCTCTGCTCCTGCTACAGGCACCTCTGGACGAAGAGGATGAAGAGCAGGAGGCTCCTGTCAAACCCATCACAGCACGTGCACTGACCCAGTCCCTCAGAGCTTACTCTGCGTAGGAGTTTACCTCACCCAGTTCTCAAGGCAGCTCTAATTACACTCAGGCACAGGGCTCTGAGCCAAGAACCGCAGGAAACACAAGGGGAATCACAAAGCCAGCAGCCCAAGAGCCTTTCCAGTGCTCTGCCTGTTTGACCAAACCCTTTGCAGTCTTTGCCCCAGAGCCCAGGACACGAGGTGGGAGCATTTCCTCCAAGAGCATTTGCCATTTCATAGTAAACCAGCAGCATGAGGCCAACACAAGATTATTGGCCAGAAGCAGAATCTGGGCCATCTGATGTTTTAAACTTATTAATTCAGCTGCAGCTGGTAAAAGCACAGTTCTAAAAAAATGTGTGAATTCAAATAACCTGCTCCCATCTAATCCGCTGGCATTGCTCTCTGCTGCAGTGCAGTTAATTAAATGGTTCTCCTTATAAATCCACTTTCCCCAGAAGTCTCATTAGCCAAATTAATATGATGCATATAGAGCACTTAACCCTTCCAAGAGACTGGTTTGAACAACAGCCTGGCTCTACCTGGCCACTGGAGCATCCCTCTAAGCCCTTCAGAAGGCAGAGGGGCAGAGCCAGCACCCAAAAACAACTCGCTATGGCAAAGTGACTGCAGGAGAACCATCCCACAGCACATCCCACGGTACCTCTGCGTCTCTGGAATAAATGCATGATGTAAAGGAGACAGGGAACCATCTCCCAGTTAAACAGACAGTGAAATCTGACTCAGAGAGGCAGAACTCTTCTGGAACAGCCACTGACATTTTGAAGCACACCCAAAAAGTGGGATAGTGTCCAAGGCCTGACACAAACACCTGGATACCTGAGCAGGGGAGCAGCTTGCCAAAAAGAGCCCCTTTTTAGGGGTACACTGACAGATCACCCATCTCCTGCCAGCATCAACCCCCCAGCCCAGGCAAAGGGGCTGAAACACATCTCCCATTATTGCTACCAGCCCCAGACCTATTGTACAACACTTCAAAGGAGATTCAGAGGTTGTATCTCAACAGCACAAGAAATACATTGCAAAAATAGGAATTTTAACTACAATCAGCAACTTCTAGAAGAAAAGGCATCTCCTGAGTCTCCCCTCTCCAATTCCCTTCCCTCATAACCACCAATATCTACAATTGCTCCCATTTACAACAAAAAGCTTCATTAAATTATTACACCAACATCCCACAAACACAGACAATTTGCCAAATCATTGGCTTGGCTTTCCTTATCACCACATACAAATTATAAACACTACTCTGGGTTAAAGCAGTGTTAATTCAAGCAGTTCATGAAGTCAAAATAACACCTCCAGCTTGCCAAGCTGAGAACATGTAGTTTTATGTGCAGGGCCCTGTTTCTCAACGGGACTCCCCAACAGGGAAGCACATCCAAGAGTCGGCTCCTTTGCCCCCATTCCCAAGCAGGAGGAACAGCACGGTGACTGAAGAAACCACAATTAGTAAGCATTAATAAACTGGAGAATCAAGGCAACAAAAGGCGAACAACAATCTTCTTTTACATTACAACTCAGTCCAACCTCTTCCAGCCCCTTACCTGTTTTAGGGATTTACACAGCGCTTTGACACCTTGCAGAGCACAACCACAGCATCCGTCGGCTGAGAGGCATCTGCAGCCTAGCAAAGCTCCTGCCCGGCTGCAGGGGGTTATCCATGGAAGTTAAAGTGTGTCAAGGCAAACAGGGCAAGCGTTCGAGGTGTCTTCATGGCACATCACAGGAATTCTACCACGAGCACAGCACGGGAGCTCCTGAAGCCGACGACGCAGCAGTTGCGGCTTCCTCTCGACGGCCGCGGTCCTCAGGCGCGCCCCGAAGTCTCCTGCAGCAAACACGGAGTTGTGCTCCTGCACGGGAACAGCTTTCCAAAGCTCAGGAGCCCCCGGGACAGGAGAACTACAGCACACAACGTTTTCAGGCTGTTCCTCTCCCCGTCTGCACTACACCGGGAGCGACTGCACGGAGCGCGCGGCGGGGCCGGGACGCGAGCAGGGCACATGCACATCCGAGGCGTGTGGAACCACTGGCTTCAAAACCGGTCAAAATAAGGCACTGAGACACCACGCAAAGGTTTAAATTACCGCCTCCAGCTCTCAGGAACTCTTCATCCATTCAGCACTAAACCCACAACTGCTGAAAAGCCCCTGGAGATGGAGGAGCGCCTCGCGTACGGCGGGAAAGGCTTTATTAACAGCATTTAAACACTTTTAAGGACTCATTTCTCTTTTTCTTTTGGCAATTTTGGTGCAAAGGTTTTACGTGCAAAGATTCAAAGCAATTTCGAAACTTTTTTTTCTTCAAAATTAAAAAAAAAAAAAAAAACCAAGAATCAAAACTAAAGGCAAACATGTTGGGTGAACAAAATAAATCAGAGAAACTTAAAATTCAGGAACTCCAGCTCTTCCAAGCAGCGAAGCCCCAGACTTGGCCACCGTTCCGAGGCGCAGGGTGGTGCTTCCCTGCTTCTTGCGCTGCCCCGTCCCGCTGAGGAGAAACGCAGCAAAGTGCCCCCGTTTTCACTGCAAACACGGGGGCCACAGCAAGGCCATCAGACACAAATTCTTCTGACTGGTACCACAGGTCGATCAACGCAAAAGTGTCGGTGCTCTCCCTGCTTCTTGCTCAAGACCCACAACTATCAGCTCAATTGGGCAGCAGCAGCAGGAACCCCTCCGCTGCCAACACAGGGGGGCCAAACGTTTGTCGTCAATTCACTTCCAGGCAGAAAAACCATTTTCCTCAAAAGAAACAATTTATTTAGAATGAAACAAAATCAGCTCAACTGTGAGCGCATGTTTGAGTGACAGCTACTTTTAAGCTGTGTGAGCCATAAAAAGGGTATTCCTTTACTTTTCCAGCAATCTTGTGTACACAGCACAAAGCAAAGAGGTCATTTTTTTTTTTCCACTTAAAACACGGGCATTGGCATCACAATAGCAGATACACAACTTTTTTTTTTTTTTTTAAAGCTGCCATTTTAGTAAAATGCACAAATACTAAACAGATAAGCTTTCTTCCACCAGGAGGCCCATGTAAATTCCACATAAGCCACAGCTTCTCTTCCCAAAGGTCCATTAGAGCTTGGTATCCCATGCGGTTGTCTTCTGCAGTCCACCAGATTTGCTTGCAGGAGGAAAAAAAACGTTATTTCAATACAAATGTGTACACCAGATTTGGGTTTTTCCCCTCCCTACATTATACAGATGAACATAAAGAGCTACGAGGCCTTTCTGAATATTCTACTTGGACTTCAAAAAGCACCAATACCACCCATGGGCATGAAACCTCGGAATGAAGTTGCCTTCTAGGGATAGATGCAAAACAAGTAGTGCAGGGCTTCTTTTTGGACCAGGATAAAACTAGGCTTACAGTACTGATGATGACTCAACTTGCAGTAACATTTTTTGGGGCACATTGAAATCATTAACCAGGAGAAAAACCAACCTAATTTTTGCTAATTCGGTTGACTTTCCTCACTGGGTATTTCCTGAAGGCAACTTATCAACAAAACCATGAAATGTAGTGTTACACAGCTCTTTTGCTCTTGTTCTGCTGTGCAGTTCTAACAGCAGACAATGCCAATATTAAAAGGTCAAATCAAAGACACACCCAATAAAATTTAAAATTGTTACTATTCAAGTCATATCTCCTAGCCATCGTTTTCACACAATGGGAACTGCGGGAAGATGAATATTCAATGAACCATTCTCTGCACCACCCGGTCTGCTTTAAGCCTGATACAAAAATCACCTCATCGTTCAGTCTACCAATCATTGGAATATCTGTCCTTCAGTGCTATAAAGAAATAAACAGGGGGACAAAGGGGAAAGAACCCCAAAAGCTCTAGAGCCACATGACAACCATTTCTTCCCCTCTGGGCACACAGCACTCCCCAGGAGCGCTGCCCTGAACACTGTTTTGCTTAGAGCCAGGAACTATCATTTTCCAAGGCATTTTTCCCTGAGTCCTCAGAGTTTTTGAACTTGTCTTCACAATTTTGATTCACTCCTCCTCCTCCCCACTAACACCTCAGGCCTTTGACCTCAGTTATCATCAACCAGAGGGTTCCAAAACCCACATAAGAAATTAAAACTCATTCTTCATAAAACTTGGCTCTCCATAGAGGCCAAGAAAGTTGTCACCGAAATATTCCATCTTTAACATCCTTGAAGGAAACAAAAGAGAGAGAGGGCAAGGTTTGTCTGCCTGGCAATAATGCCCTTTTCTCTCTGGGAGGCTGACAAGGATGTGTTGGTATTTGTGCCCCTAAAACCTCTGGATTGAGGATAACCTCAGTGTTCCCGTGGCAAACAAAGCCACTGGCCAGGGGCCAAGGAAGTTGCGCAAAGTTTCCAATTGAAAGAAATAAACAACAAACTAAAATCTCAAACAGAACTACGAGTCATTTGAGGTTCTTTCCCCAAAGCATAAAGCACAAGGATGAAATGATTCAGGAAAAGCACATCCTTTTTCCAGGCTAGTTCAACACACTAATGAAATAGAAGAACATCAGCTGCACACAAGGTCGGGAGGGAATTCTGAGCTCTCGCCAGAGCAACTTAATGCCAGACACAAAGAGAGAGCCAACAACTGCTACATCTGGTTTACTCTACACACAGTGGTATCACCCACAGGCTTCTAAACCTTCAGCCCTGGCTAAGCCAACTTCAGTGGACAGTTACTCCAATGGGAACACCTCAGACCAAGGAGGAAAGCACAGCCCGCCCAGCCGGGACGGCAGCACGGGAATTCAGTGCTGGCAAAAAAAAACCTTTCAAAGTTTTGCCACAAGAACCCTCAAAGGGTGTTAAAATCCTTGCTTACAAAACAGAGCAGCAACCACAAATAAACCAGATTCAAAGAAGCAGGTGCTCCATTAAATAAGGAACCAGAAAACCTGGAGTCAAACACAGCCTCGCCTGCTCCTCCTCGCCCTCCAGCACAGCATAATTTCAACAAAATTTCATAATTTCACAGCCAGTGGCAGCTGGAACCGCTGTGATTTCCCAAGGAAAAATGGAAGTGCACCTAGCACGCTCTTCCCAAAAGGCTTCCCAAACCAAGCTGGCTTTGACAAGCTATGTTGACCCCAAGTTTTATGGGTTTTTAAGCAGGTGCCTGCTGCGGATCAGAGGAACAAATGCTGCTCTCAGTGTCCAACACAAACTTTAGTGCTTTTTTTCCCCCCAGTTTTGGGCAGATTTAAATTCTCAGCTGGTCAAGTCTCTTTCCTAGAAAACTCTTGCAAGTGATTTCTGTCAGATGACAGAAATCTCCCAGAAAACTCCCTCTGAATGCAAGCAGCACTTGCAGCATTGCTCACCTGCTGACACACAACAGGCACCTGCTCCAATTAAAACATTCTTTGCAGTAAGTGGTAAACACGCTGTATCTTCTTAAACACAGTGATTTGCATTTCTGGTGTCATTCCCAAAAATTCTCCTTGTTAATAGTAAGCTGAACAGCTGAATTCTGCCATCTCTTACATTCACATTGAAGGACAACCCAGAAATCCTGGATTTTACTCTCAAATTTAAGAGCATTAAATGAGGCTTTCACCTTTTCATTTAGAAAGAAAAGTAGGTATAAAAAACAAAATCTGTGTTTAAGAGATGCTGCCACATTGAAATTTTCAGTTCACCACGATGTTTGGGATGCTGGGTCCACTCATTTTGGGCAAATAAAGGAACCAAAGCCCTCTTAAACCACAGCCTTCTCTGACAAGTGGTGCAGTAAGAAAAATTCCTATTTTTGTGACAGAAACTCAAGCAAGTTCAGTTACACCCATAAAATACATTCAAGACATTTCCTCCTTCGTCTCCTATTCGCATCCTATTCCACACTTTGAATTTGATTTTTGCCATGCAAGTTGTAACAGAAATCAACTCATGCCTGTATCAATTATCCAAGGAATCTACTGGAGCATGGACCAAGAGAGGCAGCGTCGCTTCTCCGTTGCCCAAATCCCTGAAAACATGGCTAAGTGCAAGATTACATTCTGGGTTTAAGTGCAAGACTACAATTTTAGGGCCTGTAAAGAGATACAGTGAGATTTACACTTCAGTTTAGAAGCTGCTGCAACATACTTTTGGTTGTTAAACAGAGTATCATGGAATTAGATCACATCAGGGATTGAGATCCCTTCTCCCCTCCTAAATGCCTGAATTACCAAAGGTGGCTAAGACAGCTGGAGAAAAGTGCCCAATGATTGGGGAAAAATAAGAAAAAATTAACTATGTTCTTTGGAAAAAAAAAAAAAACAACCTGCAAACTGTTTCATCCTTGAATCACAAGAACAAGAGCTCAAACCTCAGCATCTCAGAGTATTTTTAATATTTCTCCAGGATGCTAAAACCACTTTACTCCAGGTGCCCATGATAAACCTCATGTAATGCCCACTGCACACTGTACCTGAATAGTCCCTAGCAGACAGCAGTTCCTTGCTATTAACAAAGAGGTAAAATGTTAATGAGAACTTTTATGTAATTAAATTATCACAGAATGAGAAGCATCTCTGGAGAGAAGCACTTACTTGCTCAGTTTGCATTGTGGAACCAGACCCCACTGAACCTGCAACTCTTGGAAAACAAAACAAAACAACAACAAAAAAAAAGGCAGTAAAACCAAAACCCCACAATATAACTCAAGTTCTCCTTAAAGCACCTCCTTGTTTCCTGCACACCAGAGTGAGCACAAGACATTCCTGGTTTGCAACAAAGTCCTCAGCTCTTCACCAAACCTAGTCACTGCTACAAACCCAAAGTGCACATATGGGATACACCAGGAAATCAGGGAAATACACCTGTTAAAAAGCCCAGTTTCAGTGCATGCACCTGGGGGGACTGGATGAAAAAGGAATCCCTTTCCAAAAAGGAATTCAGTGTTCTGCTGTGTACCCGAGAGCAGCTGCTGCTCACCTGAAAAACGTCGACCTTGAGCCACGCGACTCAACGGGGAAACCACTGCGGCTCCCGAGGGAAGGGATCACACAGGGCCCCTGGCCTGAGGCCCACACGGAATTTCAAGGACTCAAAAGAGGAGGTGACACCAGTCTGTTATTAAAGTTATGGTTTTCCATTTCCACTGAGTGCTTTAAATCTGGTCTGTTCGGTTTGGAGCTCTCTCGAGGATGAGCTCTTGGGACTTGCTTTAAAATACATGAAATGAAAAAAGGACATGAATCTAAATTAAGAAGACAGGAGTTTTTCTTTCCCCCCCCTCCCCCCCACCCCCACTTTTATTATTTTTCTATTTTCTGTAAATCAAAGCAGGCTGAGCCTCCCTGCTGTCCCCATTGATAGGGAATTCTCAAAATATCCTATTCACGCTACTCCTAACCAACCTCTCTGGCTTCTATCTTTATAGAAAAATGTAGTAACAGAAAAATCTGCCCGGGAAAGTCACCTACAAACAAAGATCTATTTAAAATAACGACAGGGCTGGCTAAGGCTGTATCCCATAGCACCTGGCACACGCTGGAGGGGCTGCATGGAGGAGTAGGCAGGGTTGGGAACAGAACACGAGGGCCTTAGGATGCCCCACGGACAATGATCATGACCAGATAGTCGTCCTCTGATTTGGCCAACGCCTTGGCCGTGGAGTCCAGGAACTGCTGGGAGAAGTCGCAGGGCGGAAAGGCGTGCAGGACCCCGCTGTTCTCCTTGTCTTTGTTCCCCCCTACAGGGAGGCTGATCACCCCAGCAGCCTGCTTTTGCTTTAGGTAGGACACCAGATTCCTGAGCGGCCTCTGCGTGGAGGTGGTGGCTGCCTCGGCAGCCCCGGCTGCGGAGCGGTTGTCGGAGGCGCCGGGCACGGCCAGCAGGATGGCGTATCCGTTGGGACCCGCCACCTTGATGCGCCGGTTGACCTCATCCAACTTGGGCTGGTCCAGACGGAGACGTTGGGTGATCTTGAGCTGAGCCACTTTCCCCCCAGTCGCTCCCTCCACCAGGAGGCTGCTGGCGACTCCGAGGTCCCCCTGGAGCAGGTGCATGTTGGACGGGAAGTTGCTGTTCTTCAGCAGGAGCATCCCCTGCCAAGCCAGGCACAGCTTGGGCGCTGCCCCTGCCTGTGCTGCTCCATCCTGTTGCTGTTTTTGGGGAGGAGGTTTGAGCCGGGAGCCTCCACCACCTCCCTCCGCCACCCGCTCGTCCTTTTTGGCCGGACTTTTGCACTCCTGGGCGGCAGCAGCGCGATGTTTGCGCTCCCGCTCTGCGGAATTCTTGCGGTCGCGCTTTTCGTTCTGTCCCCGCTCCAGGCTGCCCCGGCGGGACTCCCGGATGGGGGAAGGTCGCTCCAAGAGGAGCAAGCGGGATGAGCGCTCAGGGTCACTACTGTAACGCTCCCGGCCTCCCAGGAGCTCGGGGCTGCGGTCCGGGGGAGAGGTCGTGGCCAAGCAGTGGCGCTTTCGGGAGGAAGAGGAGCGCTCGCTGTCAGGGGAACGGTCCAAGTGCCGGCCTCCATCCTCCGCCAGCCTCCGTTTCCTAGGCTGATCCCTACTGCTACTGCCCAGCTCCCTCTCCCCGCGGTCCCGCTCCAAGGACCACCCATCCCGGCGGCGCTCCAGGCTTTCCAGTGGGTCATAGGCAGCAGCCCGATTACTCCGGTCCCGCACAGGGGGCGGCGGGGGCACCCACTCTGTCTCAGGATAAAGGTCTCTGTCACGGTCTCTATAGAGCAACGGTGGTGTCCTGTCCCTGGCCCCCCGTAGAGGGTCAGGGGGGGCTCCCCGGTGAGCCCCAAAAGCAGCCGCCTCCGCCACGAGCTCGTAATGAGCCGGGGGTGGCAAGGGCAGGGGCTGCAGGTAGGGCTGCTGGTACCGATGCTCCGTGTCGGCAAAGTCCACGCGGAGCCGGCGATCCGGCCCCCCCAGGGGGAAGCCCCGCATGTGGGTGCAGGCTGCCTGCGCCGCATCCAGGCTCTCGTACTGGATATAGGCCCAGGAATCCCCTTTGCGGTAATCGATGGTGCGGATGGTGCCAAACCGATCAAACTCCCTGGCCAGGGCAGCCAGGGGCACCCAGGGCCCCAGGCCGCCCACCCAGAGCCGCGTGGTCGGGGTGGCTTTCCCGTACCCGATCTTGATGGGGTTGCGCAGCAGCACCTTCCCTGACATGGCCAACTTGGCCCGGTGCGCCATGTCCAGATTCTCAAACTTAAGAAACCCATAGGTGCTGGTCTGCCCACGCCCCGGCCTCTTGATGTCCACCTCAGTGATGACCCCAAAACGGTCAAAGGCTCGCCGCAAGTCCGACTCGCTCACGGTGATGTCCAGGTTGCCCAGGAACAGCGTGCGGTTGGCTCTCTGGTCATCCTCGGGGCTGATCTCCTCCTCAGCGGCCGCTCCGGCACCTCCTCCTCCTCCTCCGCGGAACCCCCCGGCCGCCGCCACGCCGGCCACGCGCTCCAGCCCATAGGCCGGCCGCACCCGCGCCTCGTAGAAGCCGCCGTAGTCCCGCTCCCTCTCCAGCTCCCTCGGCAGCGGCGGCGGCGGCGGGAGCCGGCCCAGGGCGAGCTGCTGCAGCCGGTAGTCCCGGTATCCCAAAGCTCCTCCGCTGCCCGCCGGGGACAGCGCCCGCTGCGCGGCCCCGGCCGGCGGGTGCCGCACGGCGGCCGCCACCGCCCCGACCGCCGCCGTGCCGTAGGGAGACTCCTTGTCCAGCAGCGCCGGGGAGCGGCTGCTGCGCCGGCGGCCGCTGCCTCCGCCGACATAGACGGCTTCGATCTTGAGCGGGCGGTCGTAGAGCACGAGGCGGCCGCGGGCGTGCTTGGCGGCCCGCGCGTCCTCGGGCCGGCGGAAGTTGACGAAGGCCACGCGCTCGTCGGCGGCACCGGCGCCGGGCGGGAGCCGGCTGATCTTGACGCTCACGTCGCCGAAGCGCTTGAACTCGTGGAAGAGCCCGTCCTCCACCGCCTCGTCGCTCAGCGCCGAGCCCAGCTCACTGATCTTCAGCGTCTTGTACTCGCCGCCGCCCGGCTCCGACGAGGAGGAGGAGGAGGAGGCGGCGGCGGCGGCCGCTCGCGATTCGCCGCCGCGGCTGCTGCTGCTTCGCGACGCCTCCGCGGTTTTACCGCTGTAGCCGTGCCGGCCCCCGCCGCCCGCGGCCGCCGCCGAACCGCTCTCGTACTCGCGGCTGCCGGCGCGGCCGCCCTTGTCCGCGTGGGCGCCGCGCCGGCCGCTCCCGCTGTTGCTCTCGCCGGACGCCGCCGCCGCTTTCCCGCCGTTGGAGCCGCCGCCTCCGCCGGACGAGCCGCTCGGCTTCTTGCTGCCGCGCGAGGAGGAGGAGGAGGACGCCGAGTCCTCGCCGCCCCGGGAGCGCTTGGCCTTGGCGGGCGAGCGCTCCTTGCCCTTCATGGCGGCGGCGGCCGCGCTCCCGCCGGGCCTCCCCGACCGCCCCGCTCACGCACCCGCCGCCATCTTGGGAGCCGCGCCGGCAGCGCGCGCCGCCCCCCCCGCGCCCATTGGCTGCCCAGGGCGGTGCCCTCGCCCATTGGCTGCCGTCGCGGGGATGCTCCGCCCACCCCCTAGCGCTGCGCGTTCCTATTGGCCCGCTGCGCTGTCGGTCTGCCAGCCAGCCCCGTGCTCCCGCGGGGGGGGCGGGAATTGCCGCCGTCGCGCGCCTCCCAGCCCCGCTCGCTCATTGGGCAGTTAGAAAGGGCGCGGCGATCTCATTGGACGGTCCTATCTGTCAATCGTGGCTGTTCAACCATGGGAGGATTTTCGCTGCCCATTGAACACTGGGCCGAACTTATCTCCGCCTTCTGATTGGCTCGCTTTCCTGCCAGTTACAATAATGGTTCTGCGGCCCCGCCCCGCTCTTTGCCATTGGCTCTCTCGCTTAGAAGTGGGTTCCCATCATACCTCTCGAAATCTCGCGAGTTCCTCTGTCCCCAGCCCCTTTGCTCATTGGTTACTAATCAACCCATTGCACTTATCTGATTGGCTGATCCCTACGCCGGTCACGAAAAGGCGCTTCCCACCCCGCAACTCCGTTCCTGGTTTCTGATTGGGCGAGAAATAGTCCCCAGGCATCTGATTAGGTGGAGACAGACAGAGTGCTGATTGGCTGGGACAAAAATCAATCAGGCTTTTTCTGGCTCTGATTGGTCGCTGCGGGGAGAGGGGCGGTCCCTGGCGGAGCTCGCGGTGCGGCGGCGCCTGAGGGCTCAGAGCGCGGCTGGCCGCGGTGCGGAGCGGAGCTATGCCAGTGCTCTGTGTCCCTGACCTCAGCCCGCCAGTGCACACACCGGGCTGGGCTGAACCCACCGCGGGGTGAGAGGGGGGAGCCCGGCTGCATTCAGTGCCTGCCTCACCCTCTCCGTATTTCCTTGTGCGTTTCCGCACCAGGCAACGCAGGGAGGCGCTCCCGGTGGATGCGGCAGCCCCGCAGCTCTCTGGGGCTCCCTGGGGCCGGGCCCGCGCTGCTCTGCCCGGTGTGGAACCCTGCGTAACTGCAGGGAGTGTCTGGGAGCACTCCTTGCTCGGGGCCAGCAAACCGCTTGAAATATTTCCTATTTAAAGCTTCGCATCACCGTGGTTATGCTGCTACATTCCTGCGCTCACCAACAGTCCTATGTTTCCTTGAGGAGTTGGAGCTCAGAGGTTCTCGGAGATGAGGAAGAAGTTTGGGTTAGGTCTGAGGTGAAGGAGGCCTCAGGGTTAGGAAATCCCGGCTCCCGTGGAGCAGGAGCGCCTCTAATGCCTGTATTTTGTGAGGATCCCTCTGTAGTCCCTGTATTTTGTGAGGATCCCTCTATAATCCCTGTATTTTGTGAGGATTCCTTTATATTCCCTGTATTTTGTGAACATTCCTTTATAGTCCCTGTGTTTTGTGAGGATCCCTCTATATTCCCTGTAGTTTGTGAGGATCTCTCTATAGTCCCTGTAGTTTTTGAGGATCCCTCTATAATTCCTGTGGCCCTGGGTGCTTCCTCCTCTTCCTCCTGCTCTGCTCTGCCTGTGGGAAATGTAGATGAGAAAAATAAATGTTCAAAGGGGGAGAAAGCTGGGGCAGGGCTGGGTCCCACAACCCTGCTGGAGCTGCTGCCCCTGCATCCTGCAATCCCATAAATCATCCCCCTAAACACCAATTTCCCCCAATAAAACTCTAAATTCAACAGCCAAACTCCAATTTCACCCTCAACTCTCCAATTTCACAACCAAGCTGGATTTCTCCAACTCCCAATTTCACACTCCAAATCCTCATTTCTCCACCCAAACCCAAAATTCATCCCCTAAACTTTAATTGTCCTGCCTAAACTCAGATTTCACACCCCAACCCCAATATCATCTCCCCAAACCCTAATATCCACAACTCCCTCCTATTCCATCCTTCAAACCCCAATTTCATACTCCAACCACTCATTTCACACCCTAAATCCTAATTTCATCCCCTGTAACCTAATTTCACCCACCAAACCCTCATTTCATTCTCCCAAACCCTAATCCTGACATCCCAAATCCCAATTTCTTCCCCCAAGCATGAATTTCATCCCACCAGATCCTGATTTTTATCCTAAACCCCTATTTTCATACCCCAAACATTAATTTTGTGCCAACAAACCCTAATTTCAACCCCCAAACCCTAATTTCACCCCTTCATCCTCCAATTTGATCCCATCAAACCCCATTTTCACCCTCCAAACTCCAATTTCACCCCCACAACTGCAATTTCACTTCCAAATTCCAATTTCACCCCAACAAATTGCAGTTTTATTCTCTCAAACCTGAATTTCACCCTCCAAACTTTAATACCATTCCTCAAACCCCCAGTTTCACCCCCAAACTCCAATTTCACTCTCCAAACTCTTTGTTTCAGCTTCTAAACCCAAATTTCACCCCATCAAACCTAAGTTTGATCCCCCTAAACCCCAATTTCACCCTCTAAACTTTAATACCATTCCACAAACCCCAATTTCACCCCACCAAGCCCCAGTTTGATCTCCCAAACACCAATTTCACTTTCCAAACTCTTAGTTTCACCTTCTAAACCCCCATTTCACCTCACCAAACCTCAGTTTGATCTCCCAAACACCAATTTCACTTTCCAAACTTTGTTTCACTTTCTAAACCCCAATTTCACCCCACCAAACCCCAATTTCACCCTCCACACTTTAATACTATTCCACAAACCCCTAGTTTGATCCCTCCAACCCCCAATTTTACTCTCCAAACTTAGTTTCACCTTCTAAACCCCAATTTCACCTCACCAAACCCCAGTTTGATCTCCCAAACACCAATTTCACTTTCCAAACTCTTTGTTTCACCTTCTAAACCCCAATTTCACCCCACCAAACCCCAGTTTGATCTCCCAAACACCAATTTCACTTTCCAAACTCTTTGTTTCACCTTCTAAACCCCAATTTCACCCCACCAAACCCCAATTTCACCCTCCACACTTTAATACTATTCCACAAACCCCTAGTTTGATCCCTCCAACCCCCAATTTCACTCTCCAAACTCTTAGGTTCACCTTCTAAACCCCAATTTCACCTCACCAAACCCTAGTTTGATCTCCCAAACACCAATTTCACTTTCCAAACTCTTAGTTTCACCTTCTAAACCCCCATTTCACCTCACCAAACCCCAGTTTGATCTCCCAAACACCAATTTCACTTTCCAAACTCTTAGTTTCACCTTCTAAACCCCAATTTCACCCCACCAAACCCCAGTTTGATCTCCCAAACACCAATTTCACTCTCCACACTTTAATACTATTCCACTATTCCACAAACCCCTAGTTTGATCCCTCCAACCCCCAATTTTACTCTCCAAACTTAGTTTCACCTTCTAAACCCCAATTTCACCTCACCAAACCCCAGTTTGATCTCCCAAACACCAATTTCACTTTCCAAACTCTTACTTTCACCTGCTAAACCCCAATTTCACCCCACCAAGCCCCAGTTTGATCCCCCCAAATCCCAATTTCACCCTCCTAACTGCTATTTTCACTCCCCAGGGCTAGCTGGAGAATTATCCAGTCATTCTTTTTGTCTGCCATCCGAACACATCGAGATGCAGCAGTTCCTGAGGAGGAATTCCCTGGAGTGGGAAGGACTCATGGAAACCTGTGATGCTCCAGCTCCTCTGGATCATTTGTGACAATCCCAGCCTGAGTGGTTGGAAATCAGGAGAGCAGGAGGGACAATGTTCCCTCACGTTTCTGTATCACCCCACAGAAATCTGATGGCTCCCAGGAGTTCATCCAGCACAGGGAGGATGGAATGGGATTGTTTTTAGCTGTGGCTGTCCCTGCCCTGTCATCTTTTGGCTCCCTGAAGTCATGGGAGGGATTCAGTGGTGGGTAAATGGATGATTGTGAAATCATCCAAGGTTGGAAAAGCCTTCCAAGACTATTGAGTCTGACCTGTGTCTGATCACCAGCCCAGAGCACTGAGTGTGGGCACCTCAGGGATGGGCACTCCAAACCTCCCTGGGCAGGCCTGAGCACCCTCCCCATGGGTTTGACAGCAGCACCTCCCTTCCAGAGCTGCTAGAAAGGGTTTGGAGTTGGCTGAGGAGTGAGACCCAGCAGCCAGCATGTTTTAGGGAGCAGAATGTCCCAGTGTACAAGAAGAAAGCAGCACTGATCAGTCTGGATCAGATATCCCCACATCCCCTGCAGAGATCCCTCCCCTCCAGCTCCTCTCCTGCATCTCCAGTTGTGTCTATAGGATTATGGAACCCCAGATTGATTTGGGTTGGGGGGACCTTAAAGCTCATTTCCTTCCTGGGCAGGGGCACTTTGCACTAGCCCAGCTTGCTCAGAGGACCTGAGAAATCACTCAGTGAGATGAGAGAAAAGTGCACAGAAAACCATAATGTGCCATATTTCAGCTTCATCTGAAATTTTTCTGTTACATCTGGTAAAACCTGGCACAGCTCCACGGCTGAAGAAGAAATGCATCGCTTTAACAACAAGTGATGGAGACTTCTGTCTCCAAGGTCCTCTCCTCTTCCCAATGGTGCCTGGGGTTGGGAGAGAAAGACAGGGATTAAAATTCCTCAGCAGATGAGTCACAGGGTAAAAGACACCTTGGGGGGGAGCACTGGGCCACATCACCACAGGAACGGGCCCTCCTGATAGACATTTAATCTGATTTCACTCTGAACTGCTCCTTCCAAGGGGAGACTTCTCCTCCTGGATTTTTCCACCTCCGCATCAGCTGCTGGGGATGTGGATCTCTGTGGATCTGCATGGATCTCTGTTTGGCAGCTCTGGTGTGTTTTGGAGCAGGTTTGGCGCTGGGAAAAGGCATCTCAGCACTGGGAAGGAGCTCTGGAGAGGATCACGTTTGTCAGGCCATGAAAAACGATCTGGCACAAGCAGGAATCTTCCCCTGGGCCCAGGCTGGAGAAGGAGCGCTGTGCTCTGCTCTGCCTGTGCTTAGATAA